GACACAAACATTTTTACCCAATAATTAAGAACAAAAACAAAAACGATTTCTGGCTAAAATGTTAATGCTGCAACACAAGGTTCTGGAAGTTAGCCAGGGCAACTTTTCACTAGACTAAAAGTTTTTCTTTTGACAGTCTTCTTTGTGTTTAAGGGAAGAAGTCTAGGGGGTATGTTGATTGCACATGCCGAGAATAGACATCAACACTGGTGCCCACCCACAGAGAGAGAGTGTGGATAGGAATTAACTACCTTGTGCTGGGCTGAGTTAGATGTTGAGCCTGTAGCAGAAAATGAAGAGGGGTAGCAATTATTAAGGATGTCTGTGCCACCCCTATGGAAAGTGCTCTATAAACATGCTCTTATCTGATCCTCCGAAAACACTCCTGAGAATAGATATGTATTGCTCTTCTCCCCATTTGAAAGACAAAGAACTGAGTCTCAGAAAGGATCACCCAGCCTAAAAGTAGTAGAGCTAAACTGTGAATTAACTGTCTTGTCTGTCTCACTGACGAGCACTCTTAACCTTGATAGTGATGTTATGGTGTCAACAGTCGAGAGGCCTTAGGCATCAGTGTCTGTCTTCCTGACTTCAGCAAGTCCAGGGAAGTACAACAAACCAAAGCTTCCTAAACCTCACTGTCATTTGGGAGCTATGCATGTGTATACTTTATTAAGAAGTATGAGGAGAGCACGTAATATGAGGAAGGCACTATTTTGTTCTATTGGGAGAGGTCTAGAAAGGAATAGCTCTCTACCTCCAACATATGGACAGCATAGTTGGAGAGACAGGCTTGTGTGCAAATATTAAAAGGCACCAAGCTGGAACACTGATGTTCAGATGAATGAAGGGTCCACTTTTCACATTCTGCTTTCATGGTTGTGGTCTATGTTTTGACATGCCACAGAGCTAAGAGTAGAAGGGCAGGACTAATGAAAAAATTTTTTTCTAAATACTGTTCCTGACATGGAAGAAAATTTCATTGCTGAACAGCAAATATCTCTATAAAACCTTTACAAATAGTGTTGAATTTGTTTTAACAAACCGTGTTAAAATACCAAGTTCTCTAAAAGCTCTGTTCCATGTCCCATGGGTTCTCCTTTACTCTTCTTGGTGGTGCTTGCAATAATGAAGCTGCCCACTATTGATTGCTTAGTGGGTGCCATTATCTCATCTACTCTTTACCACAACTTTCTGTGGGAGATTCAATCATGCCCCTTTATAGCTGAGGGCATGGAGGCTCAGAAAGGTGAAACAACTTGCTCAAAGTCACACAGCTAATGAGTGGCAGATTTGGGGTTCAAACCCACACCTTGGCTTCAAAGCCCATGTTTTTAACTTCCATTCACTGTTGAAAATAATTCTTCCATGGATGTGATGTAATCCAGTATCTGTATAAACCTCTTTGATAAGTAATAGATAACTTTACCAAGAAACTACTATCTGTATTGAGAAAGCCTTAATTGTTAGGTATTCATGTGCAGTTCAAACCAATACCAAAAATAAAGCAGCTAATTAAAAAATAAATAAACAAGTTAATCATATTTTTCCATCAGTCACTTAAGTAATAAATGCTTATTCTCATTTATTTTGCTACCTCTACTTTTCATTCTAATGAAATGATCTCAGCATAAATGCTTCTATTGACTTTCCACTTCATTTGTCAGAATTTTGAGGCCCAAATGTGAGAAGTCATTTGTCTGCTGCTCTTGTCTGGGGAAATTTGGTGAAAAAAGGGTTGAGAATACAACTGGCCTCGAAATTGGAGCTGAGGAAGTCAATGTTGGAAGGAAAAATCTGTGTCCACATCCTTCTTCAGAAAAAAAAAATTAGGAGCCCAAAATACTAGTTCTTACTCACAGATTCTTTGGGACCGAAGATAAGACCCTTCCCTTGATTTGTCAGTTATAAAGTATGAATGAGAACTCAGAGGTACCTTAAAGCCAGGTAGTGATGTTGCTGACAAGACTTGGAAGGAAGCAGACTGAGGAATGACAAAAGGTTCCACCATCCTAGAGATCTGGGAGTTTGGAAGCCTGTGGTCCTAGCTGTCCAAAAGGCAGGAAAGCAAGTGTGGTGACCAAGGTAGGCAGGAGTCACGCACGATCAGCTTACAGGCTCATCTCAAACTACTGGGCTCTGGAACTTTTTTCTTAGGCTATGTGGGTTTCTTAGAGAAATATTATAGAGAAGAGGCACCAAGGGTACCCAGGATGATTTTCATTAATCTCTCTCCTGATCCTGGCTGACTCTTACTCAGTTGATATAATGGATATTACTAGGTAGTATTCAATGGCACTTTCTCGAACTCCCTCACTTCCTCTCTCCTATCCCAAGGAAACTTAGTTTGGTTTAGGACCAGTTTGAACCTTACTCCAATGATGCTAAAGTTGCCTTCGTTGTTCTCCATGGGTAGTATGTGACTGGAGGCCATGGCTCCACGGAGGTGAATTTTCACTCACATCTCTCAGGCCACAGTGACTGAGGCTACTTTCCATGAGGCATCCATAGGCTATAGGACATCAAGGTGCATGGTGTGCTCTGATTCATGTGTGCATGTTGTGTTCGTCCTAGTCTCATGTCACACCCCTCTTTCTGCACCCTCCTGAAGCCCTTAAAGCTGCTACCCTTGACTACTTGAAAGCACTGGAGTGCTGAGTTCACCATCTCACCACCCATTGCTGTCGATGGTAAAGTCCACATTCTAGAAGGCTGGATTTCTTCCCATTCTTCTCTGCCTTCTCTTCAGTAAGCAACAAACACAGTTTCCTTCACTTGGGCAGATATTGTTCCCTTGCCTTCCTTCCTCACTGTGCTTCGCATCACTATGTGACCCATTGTTATTCAGCCTTTTACTCCTCTTATTCCTTCTCTTCAACCATCTTTAGCCTCATTTTCCGTATGTTCCATCCAGTTCTTGTCCCTCTGTCCCATTCGCCATCCAAGGAAAAAATTAAGAAACAACCTAGACATTGTCACAGCAGTAAGAACGTCTGAGCTTTGCCAGACATTAACAGTTCCAATTTTGACTATGTAAAAATAAAATAATTAAAGAATATGATTGCATTTATTTATACCTGGCTCCACAAGAGACAAAGCAAAGTGTAATCACATCTGCCGCAAGCAGATGTTTAACAATTTGGGATTAATAAATGAAAACAGGTGTGTGCAAACAGAGAGATTACACCTAAAAAGATTCGTAAAAATGCAATGGTGCATCTTCACTGTGTAGAATATGTTTTACATCAACTTTGCCAACATAGAACCATCCACATTCTGTTTCCTGAGCAAATATTAGAGAATAAGCCAGCCTCTTATTCTGTTGCTTTACCTCAGGGAAGGAGTGCAGATTATGAAAATATTAGTTAGCTGATATAATTCATCATCTTACTGCAAGACTACACACACACACACACACACACACACACCACGCATACATTATGTGTAAAGCCACCATGAACATGTGTTTAATATTTATGAAAGTATATCATTTAAGAATTCCGAATTTGTGCAATGTCATATATATAATAGACTACTCTTCTTAAAATATCAGAAAAACTTATATTCCCCTGAAGGCAATCCCCAAAAGTCATTTTAAAAAATCTTTCTTGTTATTTACATAAAATTTAATTTCTTGTTGAAGCACTCGCATCTTTGTCATGCATCTAACAAAATTGAGAGTAGGCAGGTTTTTGCAGAAACATAAAGATGAGGTGATTTTTCTCCCCAAGGTATAATTTTGTATTGGTATGTCAAAATAGCTTTAGATAAAAATTTAAGCACATGGAAAAAGCATATATATAGAATGTATAATATAAATATAAAATAGAAAAATATTTTTTATTGTGTTTTAAGCTAGAACCTTCATCTTGCACGTGAAACTCACCAATTACTAGTTGATTCATATGTGAATTTTCTGTGACCACCTAAGTTAATGAGCCATGGAAGCATTCTGCAGAACCACAGGAACATCTCTTGAGTTTAATTAATTTCTTGAAGTTTATTGAGAGAGTGTTGTTACTATAAGAAAAAAATAATTTTGACCTGCTCACAATGTTGCTTAAAACAATCTGGAATTTTCAGATGAACAAAAATAAAGTTTCTATCTTCGAATTGAAGTAAAAAAAAAAAGACAGAAATGGTGCATCCCCACCTCCTCTCTCCCCCACCCAAGCTGCGACTCCCACCAGCTGACTCAGAACAGCTCGCTTTCTGCCAGTGGTTTCCATTACAGCCAAGTCCTTTGGTGATCAGCACACAGGAGGGGCTGCTGGTCACCTCCTGCCTCCTGCAGTCTCCAAGCAGCAGGCGATGCCTTGGTCTGGGAGTTGTGGCTGCTGTCACCTGTCTCGGCCAGGTGATCCTCCCTGGGAATATGCCTCTTTTCTTCCAGAGCACTCTGAACCTTTCACAGCTGCTCCCACTATGCCGCACCTGTAGTATTCAGTGTTTTCTGTCAAAACTGGGATGAAAATTTAAAGGGAAGTCGAGAACCTGGTTTTTCATTTTGGGTTTTCCCAGGTAGCTTTCCTTAATCTCTAGGAAGTGATTCTGTTGCAGAAGAGCTGTGAAATGAACTTCTGGCCTGCTGTCCTTGGCAAAGAATCCAGTGTCTTCAAGCTTCAGTGGGCCTGGACATTGTCCTCATTCAGCCCTTTCTCTTGGAGTGTCATCTCTATAAAAATTATAGGGCTAGGTTAGACCTGGTATGAAGCTATCTTTGCCAAGTATTCTGTTTCATCAGATGTTAAAATCACTGTGTCCTGTTCTGTAATGCAGGGCACATCTTACCCCCTGTGGAATAATATATTTTAGTGATTTCTGAAAATGGGCTGCGAAAGCTGTCTGCCACATGGCCCATGTTTGCACATCTCTGTACAGTTACGATTGCGGAATTTGACAGTATAACTCTGAATCTGATTAATTAAGAATGTGTAAAAACAAAGTTCTTGCATTACAGCTCGTTCCTTATCTTTGTGTCTTTTACTATGATGTTGTAGAACTTGGATCATATGGAAAACTAAAATATTATGACACAATGACTGAAGAAGGTAAGAATGATTTTAGAATTGTATGCATTGGCTTTTTTTCATTTATGGTGTCTGTTGCTTGCCCATTTTTACAAATTTTTTTCTTTTTCCTCTTTGCATGACTTCAGTGACATTGTGTGATTTTTTATTTTTTCTGCATTTTTGTCTTGTTTTTGCCATCGTGTTCATTTGGAATTGGAGACGTGCAATACCATGGGTAATCATGTTATTCCATTCAAATGATCCAAACCATGTCAACTGTGTAACACACCCAGAGAAATGGTGTCAGCAATGTAAATACAAGAAAGAATACACCCACTGTGTCAGCATTATTTCTTCCACACGCTCACAACATATAGAAACACATCCAACCAATACTCTTCTAATAATATGCCCTTACTTTCAGAGGTGGATGATGTATGTTCTGGTGATATGCTGATTTATGCAAAGGAATGAGCGATCTAAAGTAACTCTTAGACTCCAAGCCAGCTAGAGTCCTGTTTCTACTGCAGGGCTGTAGGCTCATGTCCTCAGCTCCCACAATCCCTATCGACTCATCTCAGAGTGTTACTCTGAGAGGCGGAGTCACCATTCCAGCCAATAAAATTTTATATACTGGGGTTCACACTCTGTGAGGTTGGATATATCATTTTAACCACTTCCCCTGAGTAAATGAAATCTGAAAGGGATTTATTTTAAAATATATTTACTAATGAATCTCAGGCACTATCCCAGAGCACAACCTTGCCTCAGTCAGAATCATTTTTCTGAAATAAGTTCACCATGGAACAGCAATTCGAAACTTTTGCATTCTTATAAAGGGAGTTGTCCTATTGCCTTATCACCCTCTCTCACCCAATTTGGGGTTTTTACATGATTTTTATACTGATATTGACAAGAAACCAAAAGGAACCCTGAAAGGGGAATCAGTTAATTTTACCCTTCGACATGAGCAATTCTCCCAAACGTGTTGCATATCTTGTTTTCAGCTTCTAGTATTTCTAAGTTGCCTTAGCTTGCCGAAGATCTCCTAGTTGCTTTGCATGCAAGAAGCAGAATATCTGACAGCCCTTGGTAAGAGGAAGCCCCCTCTTGGCCCCTCCCCACTCTGGCTTCTACACAACACCCAGACCCTTCTCTGCTGCTATTCCTGTGCTGTTAATTAACCTCTGTGTTGTTTCCTAAAGCAGCAGTCTTTAGGATTAAGATCTCAGACTGGCCCTGCTGTATGTAGCCCAAGGCCCTCCCAACGATTCAGGAAAATACAGTGAGACCCCCAAGGGCAGAAAGATACCTATGGGAATATTTGTCATACCACCAAGAGACTAGAAAGAGCAACCCACACTTTAAAGGAGGCCTCTGCCACAGCTGTTATTTTTATTCCATGTCTTCGGACTACTTCGATTTTTATTGGTGATTGGCGTAAGAAGCCAAAGCTTGGGACTCAATGACTTGACAATTTTGTAACTCCTCCTGGCATCTCCCCAGCCCCTAGCCTTGATTTCAAATTCAGCTCCCCAGGTGGGTTTGTTAGCTGGCCTGTCACCATCCTTCACTTTCTTTACTCCATCCTGTCCTTTCCCTTCCACCCTTAGCTTCCCAATCAAAGGGCAGATTCTGTCTCCCTTTTGCCTCAGTTGCCCCATTTCTCCTGTACTCTATTTCTTTCTTTCCTCTTTCCACATCCACTTGAGCAAGTGTTGCCACCCAAGCACTCTCTTTTCCTTCCTCCCTACACCAGGCAATTCAAGATCACGTGAAGATGCAAAAAAGCTACTTCCAATTTGATGATTACACTTGATAATGGCTGGCCCTTAGCAAAACTGTGAGATTGTGTTTGAGGGCGGAGGGGTCTCATTGGTCAGCTTAAACATTTCTTATCCTTCTCTTGACTTTCCTATGCATTTTCATGCATAACCCTTTGTGTCCTGTTCTGAGCTGAACATTTATCCCATTACAGTAATAACTAATAGTAATTAAGGCAGTATTTTGGAAGGGTGTTCTATGAAATACTAGTTTCATATGATGTCACTAGTAATTTTATAACAACCAAGAAAAAAAAAGAATGCAAGATTGATTTTCTAGTTAAATAAGTGGGAGAGCTTCTAAATTAAGTTAAATTAAGTTAAACATGTGACTTATTGGAGCCTTCAATATACTACTATACGCTGCAGCATATAGTAAATCGTAAAAACAGATGGAGTGTGCAATATTTCCCAGACTACTTTGGTCAAAGAACCCATCTTTCCATGGAGCCTCTGTGGGGCTGTGCTGTAAATGCTGATTGAGGTGTTATCTTTCACCTGGAATAGGAACCTCCCAAAGATTAGTCTTCTGAACATATAGCAGTTCCTCTCAAGTACCCATAGAAAGTGTATTTTGGAACACAATGTCTCCATCTAGCGACATCAGTCCACACCCTTTGGCAGTTGCCTCCATGACAAGCCAGTCCTGGCTTAAATCTAATTCTTGGATTCCATCCAAAAGACTCAACCTAGCTCAGGAACCTCAGACCCAGCAACAGCCATGTGTGACTTCTTCAAACTCTCAAGAGCCTCCTCCTCCCATTGAAAATAAAAATAATGATTGTGATTTATGTCACTTCCATGTTGTACAATTTAAGTATAATTATAAGAAGTAAAATAAGATGAAGATATTTTGGACAATAGTAGACTAGCTAGCCTTTGGAAAATACCCCCTCCATTTAAGCATTTCTTTTCAAATTTTTAGAAATGTGACTAGCCCTTGAACAAAGCTTTGTTGTAATTGCCCATGTGACTAGTCATTATCTGTAACTATTTACAGGGAATTCTTTGGATTTTGTATGATGTCAGCTACTTGCAATGAACCCTATTCTTTTTCCCTAAAGTGTATAAAATGGAAAGATGAATTATATATGCCATCCTCATCCTAAGAGAAATTGAGCGATGATTTCCTAAATATAGAAAATTGTCCTGCATATATTCAATTTGTTATTTTGGCACCTACTATATGCAAGTTATTCTGCTTCGGGGAAGGAAACACGAGGCTTAAAAGGTGGGCAGTTTGCTCCCATGGAACATATAGATGGGGGAGAAATAAAACAGCAATCACGGAGCTACCAGGAAGAAAGTAGTAGAAGTATTCAGAATAAGATAACAGACTACGGGAGAAGGAACGATTGCTTTCAATTGGCAGAGTGGGGTGAGCGGGGGAGTGGGGATAGATTTGTGGAGAAAGTGATCTTTGGACTGGGCCCCAAAGATCAGCAAACATGGAGTAAATTAGGGAAGGAGAAGTGGTAAGTTCCAACCCAAGGCCAATGGAGGGATGAAAGGATGGGGGCACATTGACCTTTATTAAGTGCCTCCCACCTGCCCAGTACAGTGCTGTAGGCTTTATATATTTTATGTCATTTAATCCTATAGTGATCCCACAAGGTAGATATTATTGAAGATGAGAAAACCAAATCTCAAAGAAGTATTTTATTAAGATGAGGAAACTAAGACTCAGAAAAGCACAGTAATTTGCTCTGGGAGTCAGGGGTAGCAAGTTGTGATACAGGACCTGAACTCAGGACTGTGGCATGGCCAAGCCTTGCCCTCTCAGCTTCAACTGTGGTTTGCTGTACAAGGTGGTACGAGGAACTAGATTCTTCAAATTGGCTACAGTACAGGGAATGGGAAGAAAGGCTTGATGGAGACCAAATCATGAGAAAGGTTGGGACCACAGACTAAGAATAAGGGCATCATAGACTGAATAACAATGAGCTACTGAATAAAACATGAACCTGTACTTGAGCACTTTACCATAAAAAGTTTATTTTAATAAAACAACATACGCACTCTTGGACACTGAACAAAACCATGACATTTTTACAAAATTTGTTCTTGCTCTTAGGGTCCTGTTCCTCCCTCTTTTGTCTTCAGGTGCCCCAGAACCTAAACTGGAGCAGTTCCCTGGGCCACACCCAACCTCCTCTCCCACCTCAAGCCACTCAGAATTGTATCCACTCCTTCCTTCATTCCCTAATGCAAAGTTAGTGCTGTCAGTATCCGACAACACTCGGTCTATACCAGGTGCTAGACTAGGGGCAGGGAGGTTAAAGACAGGCCTCCTCCTAAAGAACTCACACTCTAGTGGAATACTCAGGTGGAGAAGTGAGTAGTGGAATGGGCAGACCCAAAGTGCTGGGGGAGCCCAGTGGAAGGCATTTTGTTCAGCTTTGGGAAGTGAGGACACACTTCTCAGAGAGGCGATGTCTCCACTGCCTCATTCCAAATAACAACAACTATCTTACCGGCCACCTGATACTAATGTCTTCACTTAATAGTCACTGAGCACCTGCTCTGTAGGAGACATTTTAGTAGACTTGATAGATAAGTGAGCTTTGCTCCTACCAAGGACTATATTTCTTCTGCAACAAGATGTTTCCAGAGATGCAAACAAATTACTCTAGAGGTAGTCTTTTGGTGACCTCAAATCTCCCTACATAAGGAGCCATCTTTTCATCTCCTCATGGAATGATACTGCCTATTCTTGGAAGAGCAATCTCAAATTTTACTTAAAGTTTGTAACCCATAGTGTATTTCTCATCTGTAGATACCAAATTTCATACCATTTCACTCTGGAAAATTATTAACAAATCGAACTTGGCTTTCTTACCAAAATTACTCTAAATGAAAATGTAAAAAGCTAGTTCAAAAGAAAACAAACTTATGCAATAGAACAGACGAATTAAAAGAAGAAGAGACCTTTTCACCAATGGCATTTTATAGAACTACTAATTTTTGCTTTTGGGAAATAAATACTTATAGAAACATATAGGTAGGTAGACAGAAAGCCTGATTAATATCTTGCAAAGAAGTGATATATTGGAAAGGCTATCTATAATGCATTGTCCTGAACTCATTGCCACTTAGAAGCCATTCCAGAAAAATAATTTCATTATTTAAAAAGTCAAATTTTGTTCATTTGTATAAGAAAAAAAAAGGTAGAAAAAGTTGTTGTAATATCAAGGGCAAAAATTATAATGATTTTAC